CTGAATGATAAGTAGTTAATATTGCTTTCAAAGTAAACTTAAAAGCTGGAAATGAAATTTTAAAAATAAATAAATAAACATATTGCGTCAAGAAATTCTGGCTAGTTATAAGGAGTTTTAAAAATATTACTTAATTTATTTTTTTTCTGTTGTTTAGTATCGTGTAAATTATTTACATTCATTTGTTAGCTTGGAGTTGAAGCTTTTGGTTAATTCAATTAGGAAAATTAATTCTTTGTTTATTTTTTTTTCATGCAACACCGAATTTAAAATTGTATCTTGAAATTATCACTTAATAAGCTTTACATCACTTGAAGTTGAATTTAATGAATGAAGAATAGAGGGAGTTTTATACACTTAAAATGAAAAGAGAATAGAAGGAAAATCATTTTACTGCAAAATTTTAAAATTAGTTTTAATGAAAAAAATCTTACTAAATAAAATTCTAGTTTTCTGTGGTTTGCACTTATTTAAAAAATTTCTTTGGAAAATTACAAGATAATTTCTTATTCAATAAAACTCAAAATATCACACTTCTTTTTACATTTATGCAACTTCTTTTAGCATTAATATAAGAATTATAAAATGATGTAAAATCCATTTATTATGCTTTCCTTCATTGTAATTCATAGATAATACACAATTTATCTATGAATGGCGACAATTTTCTTTTCTTTTGTCAAACTGGCGATATTTGGTAATTTGTGGCCAAGTTGGAGATATTCTGGAAATTTCTAGAAACACATTTTTGAAAACTTTAGAAGTGATTTTTTACAAAACTTTTTTGTGTGTTTGAGCAACCATATATGTATATACCGGTTGCATGACCAGAGCTTAATTTCTAAAATTAGAAGTGCCAGAGCCCTATGGAAGACCGTCAGCTAAGAGGAACAAGAATAACTAAAATAATCATTAAAATCATTATTAATGTAAAAATTAAATATTTAATTATTATCAAATTAATTCTTATTAATAATTAGTATTTAATTAATAATTATTATTGAATAATTAGAATTAATTAATTCGGTATTATTTATTTAAATAAAGATTAAAGTAATTAAATAAATAAAAGTAAGTAAAATGTAAAGAGATAAATTAAAATTTAATAAGCGATTTTTAATATAAATTTACTGAAATTGTTGTTCATTTACATAAAAGCAAGTGTCGAGGCCTCCTTATTTAGGGTTCCGGTGCTAGCTCCGGTAAGCTCCGGCACAATTTAAGATCTGTGCATGACAGCCGGGAGTCAGCCAGTTCAGGTATTCATTTAGGTACAGTCATGTGACTGTACTAGGCACTGCCTTAAGCATCGTTTTGTGAAGAATTTTGGTGACTTGAGTTATTAAAGATCTGCGTGTTAAGATGAACTGAAGAATTTATCCTATCTTTGTCTTACACATTTCTGTTTACTTTGCTATTTGAACTTTTTTGTATTACAATTAAGTGTTAATTTCTTCATGTTCATCTCTGGCTTAATTACTCAGAAGAACTCTACTAGCCTGTAGCATTATGATATTATCTAAGTCTTCAATAGGTTACAATATAAGGTATTTTCTCCCTCCTTTCCGCATTCCTTCGTGTTGTAACGGTAGCACACTCGGCGCGCATTCGAGAGGTCCAGGTTCGAGTCCCAGCGAGAGCATTGTACGTTCTTCAGTTTCCTTGCTCCAAATCCTAATGACTCTACAACAATTAGTTTTGTGTACTGCAAAAATCGTTGATATCTTGAATTTATTTTATTTTATTTTTCCAGAATATAACAATAATTCAAATATATTTCATACATTTAATGCATACTCTGTTAACTCGCACAATATTTGAAACTTTTCCCACACCATTATACTGAAGTTAGGGTTATTAATAATCTACAGCTGCCCTACTCGTACGATTGTCTCTAAAAGCTCAAGTGTAAAGTGAAAAAAAAAAAAAAAAAATTATAAATTATTAATTTTAAATAGAAAAAGAAACCTCAAACGCAAAGCGTTTTGCGTCAGTTAACCATGCTTCGAACGCAAAACTTCTTGAAAATAATAAAATACGCTATTCCAACAGTAGAAAAGCAAAAAAAGAGATGTACTCCTTTCAAGTCTGCCACATGTGTAACGCAAATACAGCTTTTATATACTTTGTGAAGATTCGATTTATGAGACTCGTTTTACAGCGATATTCAACTGATTACGATGAATTGAGATCAAACTCACAATATCTGGAGGATCGTCTGTATAAGTTTTCTTAATTGCTTTAGTTTTTAACAACTTGATCAATTAGATGTAGTTTCAGAAATTCGTTTCTGAAACCTAGCTTCTAAACACGTTATTGTTATTGTTTATTAAAGTGTTTTATCATTAGGGAAAAAACTTTTAAGGAATTTTTTTCCCTTCCTGTTCAAAAATATCATTTTTTCCCTTTTGTTTTAATTTTAAGCTTTTTTTCTTCAATTTTTAATTAGCAAAAGAACTGTACTTTAAGTTAATTACTCATAAAAATAACACATGCCATTTATTACCGTAATAAAAATATTTCTTTTAAGTTTTTTTAATCTTTTTTCCATTAAAAAGGTGTAATGAGTTTCACTCCTCTGGTAACAGTTTAATTGAATATCCAATAACAAAAAAACAAAAAAAAATTTTTTTATCTAATGATCTTTTTATCTAATATCCAAAAGATAATTCTATTAACGTTAATTTACAGTAACAAATTATCACACTTTTTCCCCTTCTCTTTTTAACATCGTTAAAGAGAATGGCAAGTTAAAATGTAAACAAAAAACACTACAGTCCATTTCCCTATGTGTAATTCAAATACCAGCTAGTTTCTTTAAAAATTTCTCTAAGAACGCATCCCTCCCTTTAGACAGTTAACTCTCAAGTGCTTTGTTACTACATACAAAAAACAAAAGTTGTTGCTAATTTAAAGCTAATTTAAACTTTTTTGCTGAAAATGTATATATTAAGCAACAAAGAGAATTATATGTTACGGTCTTTAGAAATTAATAATTTATTGAATTATTTATATTCCTATGCATACAATAATATTACGATGCATACAGTAATATTAAGATTCTGAATACAAAACTTTGAATTATAAAAACTCCAAATTCTAATTCTAATAATAATTTTAAAAATAAAGAGAATGCAAATACTACAGTACATAATCTTCTAATCACTAATTATAACCCAATATGATAATTTCGGTCAAAACATGAGTTTTGCTCCCCCTCCCAACCTATTGCGTTAAAGCCATGTTTCTTTCCTTTCCAATTCCGGTGAAAATTTGTCTTTATCTCTTTTAGAAGAATTACAATAGTTACTTGACTGCTTAATTTTGAAACCGGAAATAAAATTTTAGAAGACGGAAGTTCAACAAAATGTTTATTTACGTGATTACTTCTTTAATTATTGCTTTCATACTGAATTCTGTAATTAAATATGTTCACATAAATAAAAAATTCTAACTTTAGGAAACACATAAATCATAGCTGAGAACAAATCTCCAATTTTCTGCTAATGGAATTTAAATGTTTGCCAGTTACACATTAGCCCAAACTTGTGTTTTTCTTTTCTGACTCATATAGCTAATACAGTAAAGTGTTAATTTATGAAAAATTACATTTTGTAACTCTATGTTTCAAAAGTAAGCAGCAGAAAATATCGGAAGAAAACGGAAACTTCGATTTTATGAAAATCGCTTGAATAAGTAGTCTGTAAGTAAAAGATCTGAAAGACGACGTAACCCGCATTCTTCAGAAATTCTTGTATCATTACAAGATTTCATTACACCAGTATTTTTTATTCTAAAGACAGACGACAAAATGAAGAAATTGAAATTTTCAATCAGTTAATAATATGCAAAGTACAAAGTAAAGTTTGCTGCAGAAAATTGCTAAGAAGCCCAGAAAAAGAAAATAAAATAAAAATAAATCTGAAAAATTTCAGGTTTTAAATTACGTCCAAAGGGGCCTTTTTTTTAACATTTTGTGTGTTACATTTATTTATTAAATATCATGTTCTTCGCACTTAAAACATAAATAAAGCGTAAATAAATTTCAGTTCAAGAACAGTATCGCAAAATAATTTTAAATTGAGCATATCTTTAGAATTTCCGATGCATAGTCTCGCGCGCTGGAGTTAAAACTGTTTTTTCTGTACAACGTTGCCATTACTCGCTTTGAAATCCTTAGTTCGTTAATCAAAATTCGTTAAGTTTAAAAAAAATAAAATCGCTAATAAAACAAATCCAAATTCAAATTTTGGCTTCCACATGCCCATATTCGCAGGAGGATTACGTCATTCAAAATTGGATGGTTCTAGGTACCGTTGTTTTATCACAATGTGAGAAACATATATACATTTATGCGGATTCTTTATTATTTAATTTCTTCAAATCTAATACAGGGCGATAATATTATGGTGGCAACAGTTTGAAAAGTGAAATGGACATTCAGAGTGATTCGACGCAAAGTCGTAAAATGAAAAGATTAGTCCCTCAGGAACAAACCCCTTTGAACTAATTATTTTTACAATGAATTATTTACGCTTCGGAGCTTTAAACTTATATAACACTGGAATTATATGGAACATCTTATTGCCCGCTCGGTAGGAAAAAAGGAAACTTATTTCTTCTGTTTATACATATATCCAAGCTTGTGTTTCTCTTGTTTAATTTATGTAACTAGTATTCTAAAGTGTTAATTTATTAAAAATTACATATTACATAAATAACATATTTTTCAAAAGTAAGCAGCCGAAAGTGTCGAAAAAAAACGACAACAATAATTTTATTGAGATCATTTTTAATCAGTATCCTCTAAGTAAAAGATTTGAAAAAGGCTATGAAAGGGTATTAAAAAATTACGGTTCTTCAAATTGATATACAAATACTGGATGTGTGCTAATATGAAAATATGTGTACAAAAATTAAGACTTCTACTTCATAATTTTTTTTTAACTTGATCAATTAATAAGTTGTTCTAAGCATTAAGGAATGGAAAGATTTCTTACTTTTAAAAATTCCGGATGTCGCCTTGGATGACCAATGACTAAATTTTCTTCTCTTAATTCCGCTTGTATCCCCAAGTACTTGATTGTCATAAGCACTGCCCTACAAGGTGGGCTGATCTCCATCATATACAGAATGAGAACCATTGCTCTCCGCACTCTCAGTTCCGAATTCTACACTAGGCGATCTAATAAAACGGAAAGAACTTCATCTTGCCGTTGGCAATAATCCCCATTTTGTTTCTCAAATGTTCCCTAAACCTCTTAAATTTCCCTACATTTTCTTGTGGATGGAAAGAAGTCCTTTTGTGGCTAACAAAATCTTTCACCTATAACGGTATTGCTTCAAAAAAGTTTTGATTTCGTGAGGAGGAAGGATTAAGTTTAGTTTGGTTTAGTTATGCATCGGAAAACTTTTTGGGCTGTACATCAAAATCAGCAAAAATATGTATTAAGAAGGCGTTTCGGTCGGTGGTATTTTCATTTAAGTTAGTCTTATTTGGTGAATAATAAGATACATTTTATTAAGAAAATAATTAATTAAGATATTAATTAACTATCATTAAAGAAAATAATTACAAAATTTTAAAATTTTAAACAAAAAGAGTAAAAAATCTGCAAGCTTTCAGATTTTACCGTAAAATTCAGTTCAACAGCAATATTGCAAAATAATTTTAAAATGATCTTTAGAATTTCCGATACACAGTCTAGCGAGCTGAAGATTTTTTTTTTTTTTTTTTTTTTTTTTTTTTTTTTTTTCCGTACAGTGTTGGCATTGCTCGCTTTGAAATCGTTGAGTTTATTAATCAAAAATTCTTTAAAATTTTATAAAATATGAAATAGATAATAAAATAAATTCCAAATTTAAAATTAGGGATTCCAGGTGCCCATATTTGGGTGGAAACGTCCGTTATTCAAAATTTGATGGCTCTAATTACACTACGGGGAAAAAAGGGGGACTGTTCTATATAGTATCTCGTTCTACTGGGCAGATTGACGAAATTCAAAGTACGTTTTTCATGTCACGAAAGCGCGATTTAGGCTATATATTAGATTTATATATAGCATTGTTCTGATATAGGTATTTTGACAAAAATTCGGACTTTTTCTGTAATGACATGCTAGGTTAATTTTTCATATTTCGATTCTACGACTCAAATTATGCCTAAATATTAAGTTTTGTAACATTTGGTGCGAAATTTAAGGAGAAATTTAAAAATTTATCTTGGCGTATTTTTCAGTTTGCGCCATGAATAATTCACTTGGCAAACTTCTTAATTTACAGCAACCTATTTTCCTTTCATTTTATTTCATTGTACACGAGCGGAAAAAGGTCACGTTCATTACTTTCAAATAATTTTTGCAAAGTGCGTAAACCACATTGGGCGTTATTATCGCTTGTAACGAATATGCCAAATTTCAAAACGCACCAATATGTAAACTCACGTATATCTTAGGAAATTTTGAATAAAAACTAATTTTTTGTAGGTGTGCCTAGATATACTTTAAGAGGATGTTAAAAATTTTATAGGTTATAATAAAAAAAATGTTTCCGAAAAATTTATAAAAAATATTTAAAAATGCAAATTTTAAAAATAAATCATAAAAATAGACGAATTTTATTTGGAATGAACCTAAATTTCGAAATGTGAAAGGAAGAATCAAATAAGTTTAATAAAAAACAGATAATATATATATGGTAACTTTTTGGCGAGGTTTCTAAAATTTGTCTTCTAATTTATATATATATATATGTGATGTATCAGCTTTAGTCGTAGCTTAAATAATCAGACGATAGTTTTAAAAAACAGGATCCATTTATTATTATTCAGGAGAAATAGCAGTTACAAAAATCAGATATCCGGAGTAAATAAAAAGAATTACTAATCACTTTTTGTATGAAGTTTACTGCATCGTGATATTTAAGAAAAAGCCCCGATATTCCTTTGCGGGTCTTTTTATAGCCTCTGGAAAGGCGGAGCTTCCAAGAAATGACGTCAGTCTCATCAGCCAATCCAGTTCGCTTTAAATATCTCGAGAACATTCTATAACTGTACGTGTAGAAAAGGCGGGAAAACCAACTTGACTACGGGGCTGTGATTTTAATCCACGTACTTTCAAATAAGAGACCGTCGTCATTAAAATGAAAAGAACATACAGTAGAAATTTAAGTGTATTTTTGACTATGGAATTTTATTATTACATATATATATCAAAAACATTAAAAAGCTGAAATTTTGAGAGCTAATTTTTTTAAAAATTACTCGTGCGATTTTTACAAAACCTGGGAATCTGGCATAAGTTTGAGTCGTAGAATTTCGAAATCATGGAGAAGAAAAAATTGGCATGTCATTTCAGAAAAAGTCCAATTTTTGTCAAAATGCCTATATCAGAACAATGCTATATATAAATCTAACACATAGCGTAAGTTGCGCTTTCGAGACATGAAAAACGCAAGTTAAATTTCGTGAATCGGCCCAGTAGAACGTGAGATAGAGAACTGTCTCCACCCCTTTTTTTTTTTTTTTTTTTTTTTTTTTTTTTTTTTTTTTTCCAGAGTGCAAGACACATACAACATTCATGCATTCTTCATTGTTTAGTTTCTTTAAATATAATGCAGGGATCTAATATTTGATGGCAACAATTTGAAAAGTGAAGCTACATTTATAATGAACCAAACAAAATGCCAAAACAAAATTAATAGTCCTTCTGGGCAAATTACCCCTTTGGACTAATAAAAATCTTAATTCTAATTCTAATTAGTAAAAAAACAAACTTAGCTGAATGAACTTTATTTTTTCTCTTCGATATCAGAGTCTTGCCAAATTACGAACTTGTGACATCAAGTTCGTCAAGTCTTAGTCAAATATTGGCTTGGTCGGTATTGTCAAATCTTCCTTACAGTTTGTCGACGAATTTAAACTAATACTCGTACATAAATACATGACGATGAGTTTATGTTTTTGGTAGTTAAGCTGCTCATGTTCTTTTAAGTGTAACTTTTATGTGTGAAAATATTTGCTCGCATTTGAATTTTATATGTAAAAATATTTGCTCGCAAGTTAAAACGAATGTAGTCAAAATGGGAAAAGGAGTTTTTTGAAATTATGGATTGTGGATCGAAAGGTTGCCAAACTTACCGATTTCGCCTTGAAATTATGTTAATTTTTTTTTAAAATAAAAATGCATGTTCATTAGTAAATGTTAAATGTAAATGTAAAAATGTTATTGCTATTATGTACTGTCAGTTACTTTTATTTGCATTCTTCAAGTATGTGTTTCATATTTATATTTTATAGTTTATTTTTACAAATTAAACTTTTTGGGGACTAAAATGGGTCACTTAAAAGTATGAAATGGGTCATTAGGTAACCCATTTTTTATAATTTCAAGGTCATATGATCATAGGTTCTCAAGGCCTGGTTTAATTGATTGTGACAACACTATAACTTTTGAAAGCACGCTAAGGCTATTTGCTTAAGGGGAGGGAAGATGGCTTTGCGGAGGACTTTCTAAGGGAAACTTGTAAATTAAAATTAAATCAATTAAATTGTTTAAAATTAATTGAATTTTTAAATTTTTAAATTTAAGTTTTATTATTATTATTATTATTATTATTGATAAGGCTAATAATGACCAATTTAATTTGCCCTTTCATAATTAAAAATTATTCTAAATATTAACTAAAATTCTGAATTGTGCATTAGTTAGCTCAGAAATAGGCTACTCTTCATAAAAATCTCGCGAAAATTATAAAATACATTTGGTTTGGTGTGGTACATTTAGAACTTTTTAGCTTCTCATAAGCAATGGTTAAAACTCTCATTTGGATTCTGAGTTCTACCATATGAGCATTTGCACAAATGTTTTCTATCAGGCAGAGAATGGAAAACATTTTTAATAACAGAAAGTATAGTTTCTGGCCGAGAGTGTTTGTGATTATACTTTTCACCATTGTTAAGGCTTTATTGTAGTCACACCACGTTTCCAAATCCTCAAGACTCAGTTTAAAGTTTTGGAAAATACTATATTGCCCATACAGATTTTACCATGTCATCTAGGTATGTACTTCTATTACGTCAGGTTGACAATAATATTTATTTATTTTATTTTACAAATGCCAAACATTAACTCTTAAGCCAGCACTTTTTAACAATGTCCTCATACCGAGAAAGTGCAATACAATTATTTAAATGTTCAAAAATCATAGGCTGATTTGAGTCACACAAAATAATGTTTGGGGAATACACCACTCCAATTCTGTAGATGTGATCTCGCAAACAGTGATGTCCGGTCAGACGTTTAAACAGAGTTACGTTGTCTTTCTAGGAAAACCGGGAATAATAGTTGTTTCTTCCCTTAGAATCCTCCAACTCTTATATATATAGCAGGTTGAACCATATCCTGCTTAAAAATTTTCTTAAGAACCTTAACAAACAATTTAGTCGTATGAAATGAAAGCGATCGATTAATACGTTGCATTATCAAAGTTCTTTCTTAGCCAATGTATCAGCTTTTTTCATTTCCCATAATTCCACAGTGGGTTGGAAAGAAATTCTCTGTGCCATTGCCTTAAGCAAAGTCTTACAGTAATATAATGATTGGTAATAATATAAGAAGAATAAAACCATGTTGGTAAAGTAAAAAGAGGAGTTGCTATTTTCAGCGAACAAGAAAACGTGAAAAATTTATGTCCCTTAACGCGAAGAGGGCGTGGCACTGTTTGTTTACATTCTTAAATATCATATTTTAGGTTCTTATATATCCCAAACCTATACAAATTATATATTTATGCAATCGTCAGCGTGTGCTCTATTATTTGAGACTATAATTGGAAATTCGAAAATTTAGAACATTTTATGTTCCATGTGTTTGGTAAAAATTTCATTTAATTTCCCGCCCCCAGTTCGTTCTATCTGGTGGTTCAGATAGTAAATTCTGAGATTTTTAGTTTGCTCACTATAGAGAGATATGAACGATAAATCGATAAAAAAATAATTTCAACTTTAAAGGGAATAAAATCGAAGGTTAGAGTAGATTTAAGGATACCCCTTGGATTATCGCTAAGCTGCTGTTTCATTTATCGCCAAGTTGTTCTTTCATTTATGGTAACCTGCATAGACATATGCTATGGAAAGCCTATTATGACGTAATTGGTGCGTGA